TTGAACCCACGAATATCTTCCTAATTATGGTTCAATTTTATTATGCCTCTAAATAGATCGAAGTTGCTAGAATTTTCGAAATATTGTAGTAATTTAAGGAAAGCTCAAAGCGAGGTATGTTGGCTAAACTTCTCTCTTATAATAGAATCCCATGATGTCCTCACAAGTCTCAAGTATGATGGGCCAAGTTCTTATTTCTCATGTTCCGAGTTATTCACTATAAATTTGACAATTCCGAATAAATTTTGTGTCGAAACATATATGTTCAAAATTTGTTCTGAATGATCTTATCATATTATGTTATCCTTCGAGAATGTGTTCAAAGTATGGGTTGTGTATTAAAATATTATGAATTCGAGTCCCTGCTAAAAACATGATGGTATATCGGTACTAAAGATCTCCCAACCTAAAATATTAAAATTTAATTGAAAACTTATCTTGCTCCTAACTTGATGCATTGGTATTATTTGAAGCTTTTATTTTGATCTTATGATTGTTTCTCCGTGTATTGTTAATCGTTCTATTGATAGGGTGTTTAGTCGTACATACTAGTACTATTCCATAAGTACTAATGCCCCTTTTGTCGGGGGCTCTGCATCTTTAATGGATGCAGGTGGTTCCACAGCAGGCAACATGGATCAATGATAGCGGTACACCCTCTTCCCAGCTGACTTGGTGAGCCCTATTTCATTTTGGGGTCGTGTATCTTTTATTTCTCATATATTATGTTTTGAGTTATAGCCGGGGCCGTGTTACCGACACTATCATAGAACTATTTTGTTCCTGTTAGAGGCTCTCTAGACATAGTGTGTGTTGTACATTAGTGTTGCCTTGTTGGGAAAGTCAAACTGGAATTGTTGTAATTGTATCATATGTTCCACTTCAATATGAATGTGTAATATATTTTTGGAAATTATAAATGAAGTAACTAATGGTAACGAGATTGTGTTGTTCACGTTATCATCTTATTGTCTAATTAATGGGAATGCACCTTCACTTTATTCATGGGTAAGTTCGGGTAGAAAGCATCTAGCAGATTTGCTTGACCGGGTTATCTCGGTTAGGTGCCGGTCACACTACCTGAGGTCGGGGCGTGACACAAGACCATAGAAATCGAACCTAAATAATAAAAATTGAATCTTTAATCAATTGTACAAAGTCAACCCGGGCTCGTTGTCATGACCCAAACCGAAGGGCCGCGATGGGCACTCATTGCCTAACTCAATTGAGTACCAACATAACATATTATCATACTATCATGGGTAATTGAGCCGAAAAGGACATCATGAGATAACTAGAATCAAACATAAGAGAATACTCAACATAAGACGACCCAACATGGAATACAAACTTATACATGTGACATACGGGCCTTAAGACCAAAATGATCATTTCTACACTCAAAACATAGGCCGACGAGGCCATACAATCATCCATATATATAAAATATGTCTACAAGTCTCTAAGAGTACATAAACGTCATAAAGGCAAGGACCGGGCCCCCTATACCAATCAATACATATCCAAAGCCTAATGACCAAATAGGCAACTCCGAGTAAGTGGATTGTACCAACACCTTCCGCTGAGCTGATAGCCAACTAGGAGGACTGTCAACCTATCTATCGGGACCTGTGGACATGAAATGAAGTTTCCCCAGGCAAAACAGAGGTTAGTACAAATAAAGTACCGAGTATGTAAGGCATGAAAAAGCAGTATATAAAAGACATGAAAGAAACATGGAGTAACGGACTCAACTTGTAAGTTTGAATAGCTCAGTGAATCATGAAACTTTTATAGTGTCATGTATATGTGTATAAATGTCATATCATGCATAGGTATATGCGTACATAACATCCTCAAACCTTTGAGGGCATCCCATCATATCATATCGGCCTCAGTGGGCAAAATGATCAATGTATACCAGCTGATCAAATGGTGGTGCATATATAATGACGTAACCTATACCCATACCTCATATAAATATAATATACGCATACATAAAGCCATCTGATCATGGGTCAATGTACATGCATAAATGAATGCAATGCATAAAGAAGTAAGTCGATAAGATCTCTCGGAATGTCATATGATCAATATGCTTTCGGTTAATATCATGAAATAAAATTTATCAACTTATGTAGTTTTTGAGATCCATGAACAGACGATATAATAATAGGACACATGGGGAATCAAGAAACATAGGCACCCCTAGTACTTTTAAGAATAGAGTCATTTGTGAAAGTTCCACATTTGCTCTTTTCGTTTATATCATATGGATCATGCCAAAAGGGAAGAAGAGATAGCCTTAACATATCTTATCACAGTATGTCCAATGACCACATTGAACTTGTCTTGTCGCACTTTAATCTACAACAACGATAATAATACTATCATTAAGCTATGAATGATGCAACTATCGTACAACGAATGACAAGCTTATTTTATATTAGAACAGACAACATCTCCCATATTTTCTTTGCTTTCCCCAAGTCCATCAAAACAACAAGAACACACACAACCTTTAACTATATACCTTTAGAACCACAACACACCCAACATCCCAACAACACCAATAAATCTACACAAAACAAGTGCACAAATGTCACCAACGAAACTACTAGTTAACACGACGAGCAGCAAGCTTGAATTGGAACCAAACCCCAACTCTGTTTCTCATACCCCATGTACTTACAAAACCATCAACAGGACCAGAATATAAACATATATATTGACATGCCATTCCAACCTTATATCCATCATAAAAGTAAAATCAAACAACCCAACAAGATATAACAACAACATGGAAAACTTTCAGGTATTGTGTGGTTGTTTCTTCTCCTATTTACAACATCATCAACATACTCAACATATTGACAAGCATAAAAACAATAAGAATATTATAACCAAGCTATTCCCCATGATTTCCAGCCATATGAAGTCATATACACAACTCCAAAATAGTCCAATAAGAGACAACAACTTCTTATACAACTTCAAGTTCTATCTTGTAATTCTTCATCCAAATAACTTAACCAACACATAGATATGATTAATCCCAAGAAATAGAGTGTTATACATACCTTAAATAATCAGAACAAACTCGAACTAAAGCTTCCCTTATCTTACAAGTACCCTTAAATACATCACAATACCATAGAGAGTCTCTTCTTCACGTACGCTAACTTTTGAGGCTAGGTTTATGTAAAACCACATTGGATTCGAATTGGAACCTTGGATAACTGTTAGGGAAGTGTGGAGAGAGTTTGGGAACTGTCCTTGGTCGAAACTGACCAAAACCGAGCCGTCCAATCCCTTTAAAATGTTCAAGGGTCGTCCACTACCTAAGTGGGTCCCATTGGGAGCTGCTTGCATGGTCTCACAAAAACGTGAATACCTCTCTACTTAGATGTTTTATCGATGAACGGTTTAATGAGTTAGAAACTAGACTCATAGATCTTCTATTTTGTAGGTGGATCATCCCGTAATTCCAAGTATATTGTTAGAAAAGCTCACCTATATTTGACCTAATATTCAACACATTTATGAATGTAACTTGTGATGACCTTTGCCAACTTTTGTTCCACAACTCTCTTGACTTCAAAACGTAATACACGACTATCATACGGCTAAAATAACTCATAAAATAAATTTCTTATCATGTTAAGCACCCTAGTATCATCCCAAAGTACATGTTTTAACATTCCCGACTTATTGACATTCGACGAAACTTATTTTCTTCAATTTGTTTAGCTTTTAAGCCTTTCAACCCTCGTGGTACTTGTTATCCATGATCTTAATGATTTGTAGCCTACAAGACAACATGATTAACTTACTTTATGTACTTTCAAAAATGATCTCATGTCTAAGCTTACATCAATTGACTTACGATGTACTCTCACGTACGAAAATATAGGGTGTAACACTCGCCTCCCAGAACCTGACAAAATTCACAAATCCCGAACACTCATTCCAATATGAGTCCAACTACATAAGATTTATCCAAAACCAGCTCTAAATCTGGTACACATCTTAATATTTGTTTCCAAAAATTTCTTACAAAAAACCCAATTTTTCCCTTAGATTTCATCAACCAAAGGTCAAAATCAAAGATGGAATCATGAAATAAAATCAAATCTAAGTCAAGAACACTTACCCCTATTCAAGTAGTGAAAACTACCTCAAACATTGCCCAATTCCAAGCTCCCAATCTCAAAGTATGATAAAATAAGTCAAACCCTTAAAAATATATGACCTCCCCAGCGATTCCGCTTTTGAGGACAAAAAGTTGGCTTCTACGACACCACTTTTGCGAAATTAAACTCGCATTTGCAGGCTCATTAACACTTCCGACCAACCGCTTCTGCGATGCAAGACCTCGCTTCTGTGAGCCCACCTGTGAAAAGACCTCGCAGGTGCGCGACTGCTTCTGCGCCCCAAGATTCGTACATGCGGACTAGCTGTCCCTGGCCACAAATCCGCTCATGCGGCCCGCATCTGCAGAGTTGCACATGCAGATCGAACCTCACAGGCACGAAAATACCAGAACAGAAACGCATATATAACACTAAACAATTTGAAATCAATGTGAAACATACCCGAGGCCCCTAGGACCACGTTCAACTATACCAACCAGTCCCAAAACATAACACGAATCTTACAACTTAAGCTTTCATAAACGGCACTAAGTGTTCCAAATCACTCTCGAACCTTCCCAAGTCAAACCAACCAGCCCGCAAGTCATAAAATAACATACACATACGGAAAATATCAAATAGATGAATAGGGATCATATATACAAAACGACCGGCTAGGTCATTACAAGAATCATGTAGAACACACAACAAAACAAGGAATAGAGTAATCTAGAATCTACCCCGAGTATGAATACCCATGGAACATGTATATTCACTCATCAACTCATATATACATCACCCCCGCATGTAGCAAATAATATCAATTATTAGGAAAAATTTCCTCAACGAAAGCAAGGAAAGACACTTACCTAATTTGGCCTAGTCCAAAGCTCCAAAATCGCATTTCCTTGAGAAAGCACCTCTAACCTGCTCAAATCTAGCCAAACATCAACAAAGGAAGTCCACCAATGCCATAGCAAACGATCCCATCCATAAATCCATGTTTTGTGTGTTAATAATTCATGTAAATTCTTGAAATATAATCACAAGTAGGTAGAAATCACATACCCTAATGTCTTTTATGAAAATCTCAAAACAAAATTGCCCCTCTCAAAGTATAGGGTTCAAAGTATATGAGAATGAGCTCAAAATCCTGAAATTCCAACTTAAATCTAGCTATAGAAGTCGCATTTGCGACTAGAGGCTCGCAAATGTGACCCTCGCAAAAGTTACCTCAGGCTCGCAAATGTGAACTTCGTCTGACCCAGCCAATTCACAATTTCAACCAAACACTTTGCAAATGCATAGTCGCACAGCTGCCAGTCGCAAAAGCGACACCATATCCTCGCAAAAGCGAACAAAATCCTCAGAATCCCACAGTCACAAATGCGACTCACATCCTCACAAATGCGAGGTCCTCCGAGCTCGACCAGGACGCAAAAGCGACAACATCCTCGCAAATGCGATGGTCGCATTTGCGACCACCTCATTGCAAATGCGAACAATACTTGAAAGGTGCAAAAGGCAAGAAATTCAAACCTTAGCCTTGCCATTAATAAATAGTCTTAAATTTGATATGAACATAGAAAGTTTGACGGTTAAACACGACATAACAAAAACCAGAGTTGTTCAATCTAGTTTATTTTTTAAACCTCAGTAGAAATTTTGGAGCATTTAGTATTACTATTACTATTTCAACTGGCAGAAACTCTCCACCACGAAATCTAAACCTGCAATATCATCTTTATTCTCTATTGGGAGGTTCTTTCTTTTCATCTGGTACCGATATTCTACTTGATTCACCCTTCTCCATTGTTATTGATATATTTTTATCGCATGGTATAATGGTATTTTCTCTTCATTGAACTTCTAAAAAAAGGTCCATCTAAAGAGTAATATAAAACGCGAATGGATGCACACAAAATGAAGGATAATCATACAAAATTCCTATATTACCGTCAGAGAAACACAATTATCCATAAATAGAACTAAAGATTAACTTGGTTCTTTAATTAAGTTACCTCAATTGAATCCCAAGCAAAAATTACGACCATTCCTTTGTAGCATGAGTTGGTAGCGAGTGAATTTGTCTCATTCAAATCGCGTACAAACTTTCTCTTTCTTTGTCGCATTTGGACTCACAACTTGAACCTGATAGAAAGAATGGTCTCTATATCCTCATTTATGTATTTTTCTTTAAAACCACTATACTTCTAGTAACAATGGCGTTTTCACTAAAAAGGAAAAAATAGAAAAAGAAATGATTGTGCTAGGTGCGACATGATCAAAATGTAAGCAGCTATATGAAATTTCCATTTATTTATCTCCCTAAGAAAGTAACATAGACTTAAAGATTACAAATAACAGCGTATAGTGGGAAAAAGAAAAGGAGTCAGACCTGGGACTGGAGTAATCCTTGCTTAACAATTTCATCTAGGCCACATGTTTTGCGACTAAAGAAACATGAGAGATCTTCTGTTTCTCAATTGACTTGACATATACGAATCAAGTTTGTCCAAACTTTGAAAAATAACATTTTCAAAAATATTTTGGCCTTGTCAAAGAGCTTCGAATTACCAATCTGAAAATCAAACAGTTGACCTAAATGGCCTAAATCTCTTGTTGTCCTAACAGACTGTGTCTTTCATTAGCTTTTCCAAATATATTTTTAAACAATCACCTCAAGAAAAATATAGCAAAGTAAATGTTACAAACTAATATTACTAACGTCCGTCAACAGCAATTAAAAGCATGCACAAAAGATAATCTTGTGCTATATCAAGCTCGTCATCGATGCAGCAAGGATTGATCTTACTCTATAGCAACTCACTAATACAAATTAACATAAAATGAAGTAGCTCTCTTTTGTCTGATCCAGTTCTGCAAGCTCTCTTCTTAGAAATATATACACCGCGGCTATAATGGATCTCACTAGGAACTCCAAATAGTTACTCCCTCCGTTTTAATTTATGTGAACCTGTTTGTCTGGGCACGAAATTTAAGAAAAAATGAAGACTTTTGGAATTTGTGGTCCTAAACAAGTTAAAAAGGGGCCGGAGTATTTGTGTGGTTATAAAAGCTAATTGTAAGTTTAAGCTAAATTGTTTCCAAATTTAGAAAGGAATCATTCTTTTTGGAAATGAACAAAAAGAAAATAGGTTCACATAAATTGGAACAGATGAAGTATATTATAAATATAGAACTAAAAGGATAGCAGTTAAGCAATACTAATTGCTAATATGATATGAGAAGCAATGGATAAGAATGTTACCTACCTTGATACTTCATCCAACCGAAGTATAAAAATACTTAGATTAACAAAAAGAATAAAAATGTACATTAGATAGATATGTAATGGTCAATAGAGAGCATCTTTTTCTTTGATGAAGAAAGTCTAAATTCCAGTGCTACTATATCTTCTATAACTCTGAGTCATCGACGAGAACTATTGGGAAAGAAAAATAGAAGGCCAAGATATATTGGTATGGCACTTAAAAGTCTTGCATAACAGAAATACAAAGAAAACCTGTTCAACTCTGTCATGCTCTAAAGATCCTCCAGAATCTTCCTGGTCATTCTTTTTAAAAAAAGTTTCCTTTAGAATCTTCTCTTGTCAATGATACATAACAAACTGTGGAATCGAGTTCTAAAATCAACCCTAGCAAAAAACGGATAGAGTTGAATTTGTACGTAGTTCTAAGGATATGTAGTATAACTTGACACAAATCGTAAGGATGAATAGAAATATCGAATATTGACTGTAGAGAATAAAAAATAAGCAAAGATAAAAAGAAGATGATTTATGGATTAAGCAAGATGAATCAATCTATGAGGCTAAAAAAGGGTAAACTCTTCAATATATGAGTGTATGATATCTCAGTTACAATGTATGCAAAACTTGATCCTTCACAAGAAGTATAGTCATCCCTTTTATAGTGGGGGATTCTACTTTAGATATAATTAAAAATACATAGTGGGGAACCTATGATAAATCAGTTTTTCCTTAATTTCCGCCGAGAATCTCTCCCTTAGTGCGGCTGCAACGGCTCTTGTCTATGAGATCGGTCTTGATCAGACTCAGCATTGGTCGGTATTGGTCAGTTTCCAGTTTTAGAGCTCGATGCGGGTTTGAGGTCGATGCCGACTCGGGGTCCAGTAATGATTTGGGCTCGGTATCGATTGGCCTCTGGCCCTTAAGCTCGATTCCATCATATCTAATCATAGTTCGATTCGGACCCGAGCTCGATAATGATTTCGGACTCGGTATTTGATCTGTACCTTAAATTTGAAGCTCGTTTGTGCTATCTTCGAGTCCCATCTCAATATTATGAAGACTTCCTTCGATCCATTATGATCCCATTTCGATCAATCGTATGAACGCCGAAATCAATTTCGACCGTATACAGATAGTTCCCTCGTTTCTCGGGATAGATGTGGCGAGAAATGATATGATTTCTCAACGGCTCGATTGGATATGCACTGACGTTTGCATCGAGCCCGACCATGACGTACGTGATAGTTGTCCTGTCGATTTAGTTTACCAAGGCATTTAATGCGTGTCAGACGGTGGTCGGTCACCGCTGATATTGAACCGCCATTGCTTCAATCTATAAATAGCCCATCCTTTTACCATTTATCACTTTTACATCTTTAATCTTCCAAATTTTCCAAGTTCTTTTTCATATTTTCTGAATTCATTCGCAAATCTGTGATTCTTCTCTGCAAAATCCTTCTTCATAAACACCAAATCTTTGTCACCTCCTTCTATTCTCGATCTTTAAATCTAAAAAGGATGAAAACATCAAAAACCATTCCTCAAAAAGAGAAAGCTTCTTCTTAACAGCCTGCTGCCGACAAAACACCGGTAGAGCCACGGCCCTGAGGAGTGCGTTCCTGGGGCGTGTGTTCTTACCTCTGATTTTAAGGTCGACAAAGGCTCGTCGGTTCCTGGCCAATGTGAGCCAGTATCGAGGTATATGTGTTCGATAACCGAGAGGCACCTCGAACAGCTAAAGAAAGATTGCAATTGGGAGAATAAAGAAATAGTAATCCCGTCTTCTGAAGAAGATATCACCACTTACGTGAAAGGGTTTTTAAGTGTGTATACTTACCCTTTCACATTAGGTCCCCTCGACCCCGTTATTATTGATTTCTGCTATTAATACCAAATAACCTTAGGCCAGATCCATCCTTCTTTTTGGCGGATCGTTATTTTGATCCGTTACTTCATGAACAAAATTGAGGAGATGCCTTTCACCCTCGACCATCTCATCCGATTATACTGCCCTCGCCTCTGTCGAGGCGGGTTAATAAAACTTCAGCGTCGGGCTACCAAGGTTCTGTTCTNTGGCCAATGTGAGCCAGTATCGAGGTATATGTGTTCGATAACCGAGAGGCACCTCGAACAGCTAAAGAAANTAGGGATCGAGGCTGGATGGGCAGGTTCGTTCAAGTAAGGACTTCGAACCTGATTCCGACTGAAAGATGCCTTTTCCCGAGGAGTGGAACATGAAGCGCAAGTATAATTCTGATGTTATCTCCTACTATTTTGCCCTTTCATTTCTTTACTCATCGATATCCCCTTTTTGTGATGCAGCGGTTCCCTGGATGACCGGTGCAGTTTCCGATCTCAAGAACTGGGTACGAGATCTAGCTTTGACCTCCACATACGCCGAGCGCTCATGGCGTGATTTGTCAAAGGGCCGATGGGAGGCCAAAAATCATGGTAGGCCCCTTTCTCATATATTTAGTAGTTCGAACGAGATGCTTTCCATATACTTAAATCAATTTTCCTGTATGTAGGTATGGGCAAAGATGCGGTTTTGAGGCCCTTGTCCGTCGAGGAAGAGGAAGAGGCCTCTGTTCCAAAGACAGTGAAGGATAATAAGAGAAAAAGGGCCTCCGCTTCCGAAGATCCAAAACTGAAGACGAGGATGGCTCGTAAGCCGAGGAAGAATACCATTCCTTTGACCGTAGAATCAGTTCTGCGTCTAAGGGATAAAGACGAAGAAGAATAAGAAAATGACGGGTCCGTACTGGTGGCACTAATGAAGAAAACCATTGATGCCCCAAAGGCAACTAAATCGATGGTGATTTATAAAGCTTTGCCTCGGACTGAGGAGATGTCGGAGGAAGGTTCGGGCAGAGTCCCCGAATCATTAGAGATCGAAGATGCTTCCCATCAAAGTCAACAAACGGTGGGTATATCAGGAGGGGCCGGTCCTAAAGCTCTCTGAACTGAGGAGAACGCCCCAAGCGAATCGCTTGGGGCAATATTAATCGGAGACTCGCCCACTCTCCCTTCCATTTCCGAAGGGGCGATTCAGGAAGCCCAAGCTTTAGGGGACCTCGAAATGAACCGGTCTCATGAAGAGGATGACCCCTTCTGCTATTTGTTTACTGGGGTCGAGGACGCTGCTGGCCCTAGTGATGTGTCGGGCCTTTTCTGTGAAGTGCAACAAGCTCTAAATCGGGTAAGCTCTAACTCCCTTCGTTGATACCACTTTCATGTTTGCTATTCTTTTCTAACATCTTTTCTTCTTTCTTCGAAGGCCGTAGTCGTTCATCGAGAAGCGTGTTCTCGGTCTCGAGCTGAGTTGCATCGGCTCGAGGCCGACTTCCGTCGGGTTACGAAGGAGAGGAATGCCCTTAGACTCCTTTCCGGGCAAAGGGAAGAAGAAATCAAAGGCCTCCGAGCTGAGTTGGCCAAGGCTCATCAAGACCAGACCAACCTGACTGAGAAAGTAATGATAATATTAAGAACTCATGGGCTTGATTCATGATTGGAGGCTAATATTTCGATCTTACAACTGCAGCAAAAACTCAAGACGATCGGGCAGCTTCGTGAGGAAGTTGATATAATAAGGGCGGAGGCCATGGTATGGAAAGATGGCATGGACCATCTTGCTGCAGAAAAAGAAATTGTTTGGGCCTAATTTTCATCGACTGCAAGCCAACTTCAAGGCATGAAGGAGAAGAGCTTGGTTCAAGAGAGAAGAATAGAGGAACTCGAGGCTCGGTTAGCCTCCGAACATGCCAAGGCCAAATCTGATGCGGATGAAGCAAAGGCTAATGCGGATGCATTCATGGTCGTCTATCGGGCCGATGCTGAAGCTGCTTAGGTACAGGCAAGAGAGGCAGCCGAGACCGCC